GATGGTCGCTTGTTTACCTTCAAGCCTTTAAGACCCCAGATGCGATACTTTTTGATAGCCGGGCACCATCAGCTTTCTTCACCACATTTGCTTATGCACCCACTTTGTCTTCAGTGATCACGTTGGGAAGGTGAGCATTATGGAATGCTGGTTTAATAGGACAAAGTGTTCTTACATTGAGGGAGTACTTGAGTGGAAGCCCAATGTCCATCTGCTACCTTAATACTAAACCTATAAATATATGCACATAGATCTATTTCCCCATCGTCATATATATTTACACATGTACATGCCTGTACTTAGATGTCTACAAATGCTCTTTGCCTCCTAGTTCTTTCCTCTATTTCCTTTTTCTAAACTCTTGTCCCTCTGTCATGCTCAGCCTTCATTTGGGTTTCAGGAATTCATCTCGGTTACACTGCCCTTGATTAAGCCCTACCAGGCCTGCACTCCAAATCCATGGGTATCCAGCTTGCAAACCACCACACTTAAGTATCTCTAGAGTGGCATTTCTGCAAACCTCTTCATCCACAAATGCATTCCATGGTAGAAAAAGATCAACGACACCCTCCTCCAGCCTACCTACCATCATACCTGCCATCGAGGCTGTATTAAAGTGACACATCAACGCTGTGTTCTCTTAAGATTCCCTAGCCGTTATTTATTCCTTTACATCAGTGCAACAGTGAACAGTGATGGGCGCAAACCCGGCCCCAGCAGCTGCCCATGGCTGTAGGGGTGAAGCAGTGTCCCAGGGCCCTCGCTCTCACTGGGCAGTTGGTGCCTGGGTGAGCAGGGCCGGCAACATCTGGGCAGGGAAGCAGTAGCGTTTGCTCAGTAAGCTGACAGGAGGCAGCCTTCCCAGTTCGGGCCTTATTATCAAACTCTTTGTGAGCTTACAGGAGAGTAATTATAGGCACGCGAAAAAAGGGAAGCGCTCCCGGAGGAACTCTTCCTCACATGCTTCCCAAGAGGCACGAGGGCCATTAAAAATTCCATGATGAAGAGGAAAACAGCCTGGGAACAGCCAGGAGGCAATACAGCAAATTAATACACCAGCCCTCCTCGGGGAAAGCTGTGATAAAACAGGAAACACTTCTCTCTCCACAAAATAAAATTATACCACTAATGATAACACAGTCACCACACACACAAAAGCCGTTCTAATGATGGGTGTGAAATTCCCAACGCTGCCCTCATGCTTTTGAAAGAAATTTTTTCCTACTACAAATAAAATGGAACAAGAAAAGATAAAATTTCCATTAGCAACAGTTTTTAACACAGTTATTCACTTGCCTCTTCCCCGCCACCCCCACTCCCTCCTCAGGACCGGGCTTTGTTCCACAGCCTCACTGTCCAGTTCTGAATCGGATTTCATCAGTCTGCCACCAGGGCAGCTGGAAAAGCCCCTGGTGGTGAGATGGCCCCTTCACCACTGTGAAGGGACCCCACTGTGTCCCAGGCGTGAGAGTGGGAACTGCGGCTGACGGGAGGGAGAAAGATGTGCGGCCCCTCTCCTGTGTTCTCCCCTTTGCCTTCAGCAATGGTCCAGCGCCTGAAGCAGCGAGGGCCAGCAACACAGGCTACATCCCTTAAGCTTCCCAGTCCAGCCACAAGCCCTCCCAGGCAAAAGAGGGAAGATAATGGTGTGGATCATGAGATACACAAAGAAGCAAGAAGGTACCGCCCAGTGGGGCCCCAGGACAGAGCTTCTAAAGAAAACAAGAACCGTGATACAGGTTCTCAGGGTCTTGCGGCTCCAGCAGAGGTAAAGAAACAGGACAAAGGTGCTCCCTTTCCACATCCAACCCGAGGTGGTGTTATGGTGTCTTTCCGTCGAGTCTGCATGGCCATTCCTTCAGGATTCAGGTCCCTAGCAGGACAGCCTTCTTAAGGGCTGAAATCTTATGTCTTCCAGGAGGGGTGAGTGCCCCAAGACAGCCTGCCTGTGCTCCTGGGGGCGCCCTGCTGTCCCAGTGCCACCTTCCTACCCAGCTCTTCTCACTCCCGTGTTGTGAGTGTCAGTTTCCATGGGAATTTCCCACGGGAATGTAAGCTCCCTGAAGACAGTCCCTGAACAAAGAGCCAGCAAACGCCGCTGAAGGAGAGAATGTCAAGCACACACAAGTCCTTTATCACCATCCCACAGTTTTCGACTTTCTTGTGCACGGTCTATGACGCTCTTTCGCCCACGGACACATGACTTCTCCAGAAGGAAGACCTGGCGGTGGGCTGTGGCGCAGAGCTTACCACCAAAGCCCGCAGTGGAAATGCTAAGTGAAGCCCTGAAAGAATAGCTTCCCTACGCAACCTGCTCCCAGTTAGAAATTTAATAAGAGGAAAACAATAAAAACGATCAGAAACCAGGAGAGAAATTCTTCCTAGAAACAGAAGTAAGAAAAGTTCTCTGGTCCAGTCTTTGGCCTGATCTTTTGTGCAAACAAGAATCCCACTAAAGGATACTACCATTAAAAGCATATTTAGGTCCCCTGTCATCTCAGAGAATATCTTTTGAGAAGCATAAAATTCATTCACTCAACCAATACCGACTCAAGGCCAGAGCCTGTGTTAGGTCTGGGGCTGCATCAGGAACATGACCCCTAAGTCCGGTGTGGGTGGTGAGGGAGCATAGCCCTGGTCAGTAGGGAACTGGAAGAGGCTCCTTTAAAGAGGATAGCCTGAAATGAGCCCCTGAGTAGCCGAGACCTGAACAAAGGTGAAAAGAGGCCAACGGGAAGAGGTGTGGAGGTCCAAAGGCTGGAAAGGAGGGCTCTTTTGGAGAACAAACTGATGTTCCCTGGGGTAGCTGACTCTCTCCTCAACTTAGGGGCCAGGGGAATTATACAAAAGGAGGCTGGACATGTACGCAGAAACAAAATTATTCAGGGCTTTGCAGGTCACAGCAAGGATCGTTAAGAACGTTCTCTGGGGATGGGCGTTTAGCTGCAGAAGTAATATGAAATGTGAGCCACGAGAGATGGGTCGACACACTAGCCATGAGGCCTGATCCCACCCTAGCCATGCTCGGCCTCAGCTGACTCTCTACACATCTCTAGATCACAGAGGCTGGTACGAGAGTCGGGTGGAACTGGACACACAGAAATACTCGAGAATCTGCCAAGAGTTATGAAGAATAAAAACTCTTACCCCAGAAGCAAGTCACAGCCACCGGAGGGCAATTACCTGGCAGAGCAGTGAGCTGGTGAGCATCTTCGGTGAGAAGCATCAGCAAGAACGTCCAGGGAGTAAAGGGGAGAGAGGGGATTAAACTGTAGGAACAAATAAAATTACTTCAGTAAAGCTAATAGCAAAGGGACCTGATCCTGTACTCTAGGGTCACCTGAATTTGATTACTTTCCCCCGTGGAATGCCAACTACCTCGCCAACCCAAACCGCTCAAAACTGTCATCATGTTAATGCTGACTCATAGTGACTCCCTGTGGGTTTCTGAGACCGGAGCTGTTGACGGGGGTAGAAAGTCCAGTCTTTCTCCTGTGGAGCTGCTGGTGGTTTCAAACTGCTGACCATGCGGATCACAGCCCAACCCTTAACCACTGCGCCACCAGGGCTCCTTCCAAGCCAAACGTCGAGACCATGAAATGTCACTGCACATATTCAACACTGGGCCCACAAATGCAGCACGTCCTATCTAAACCCACCCATTGGAAGTCAGGTGACTTCAACTTGTGGGGACGCTACACAGAACTGCTCCATGGGGCTTCCAAGGCTGTAATTTTCATGGAAACAGATGGCCACGTCTTTCTCCCAGCGAGTAGCTGGTGGATGGGAATGACGAAAACCAACGTCTCTAGCACACTGCACCACTGGCACACCTCAAAACACACCATTCCTTGGTAAGCAGCAATTCCCAAAACTCTGTGAAACAAGATAATCACTTAAATGGAAGAAAACAGCTACTTCCTAATTTTCATGAACAGGAACTTACATGTATTACTAAGGATCAGTACTTATTCTCAAGAAAACTAGCATAAAATTACCTTTCATTTCACTGTCTAGGCAAATTAGTTTGTGGTTAACACATACTAGCAGCACAGCCACAGAACCAGACTAAGAATTAGAATATCTAATGTCTAGTTTTAGTACACCACTGACTGGCCATGGGTCAGAAATGACATCCTCAGTACAACGTAAATGTTAACACATGATATGGATAGCTACCCGATCTCTGTTATGGGGTTATTGTGGGGCTGAAGGAAATGTCGCTTCTGTAATAATCGACTGGCCCCAAGAGGTGAGTGTGAAACGCAAGCGAGCTATTACACATTCAAGGAACTTTTCTTCTCGATTTGCTTGCGCTCGGGATTTTTTTACACAATCAACAGTCAGTCCTCCCTAAAATGTTCGGTTAAATGTCGTTAGACTGAAGAACTTGGGATGACGCTGTAAGGCAGTCGAGAGGCGCCAGAGACCAAATCAGCCGAATTAGAACAAACAGGCTTTATTAGGGAGGAAAAACCCAGCCTGAGCGAAGTCCCACAGTCCACAACGTCCGGGCTGGGGGAGTCGCACTGCAGGCTACAGCGCTGCTGCTTATAAGGACAGGCATGTCCGGGTTTCTGGAATGTAAGGTGCCTTCCTGGTTCTGGTTGTAGTCATGATGGGTGCAGAGCGGTTGGGAGAGAACAAAGCAGGCACTGAGCCAAACGGGCTGTGCTGGGTGCAGAGTGGAGGGTCGAGAGCAAAGTGGGCACTGACCCAAACGGGCTGTGCCGGTGCTGGGTGCAGAGCGGCAGGTTGAGAACAAAGCGGGGCCATTAGCCAGCTCTGGTCAGCTCCGCAGGTGTGGGGAAGACTCAAGGTCTCTTGCTGCTAGAAGCTAGCCTGGTATTGATCCGGCCATACAGAGATCTTCAAGATTACCTACAAATAACACTAACCAAGTAGCCATCCTACCTGTTACTCCAAGTCCGATCACAGCTCTACCACCTCGGTGACTTTGGGCAAATAATGTAAGCCTTAGGGCTGTGGAGCTCCTCCTTCGCAAATACAGGCGTGAACCAGGTGGCTGTCATAGGTTGGTCCCCTTCTGCCTTTACAGCCCCCGATGCAAACAAGAGCAGTACTGTAGCTCAGTGGCCCAGTCTTTCCCATACCTCCTCGGGGACATTTCCATAGCTGCACGCCACTGATGCTACTGTTTACGCTCACCGTTGACTGCATCTCATCCATTTCACTTAGTCTTGCCCTGGTTAAGTTCCCATGAAATAATCAGCTTGATGTAATGATTGCATGTTCCAAAGTACACCTTCGCGTGTAATTTAAAAGACAAAGTGTCCACATACCACCTAAACCGGTCTTACCTACCCAAGTTCTATGTACCCCTGCCCTGGTTCATTGTCAAACAGCAGCTTCACTATGAAGGTTCCAAGTTTCAAGTGTGTCTCAACTCAGTAAGCTTCTGAGCAGTAAACAAAGGACTAAAACAAGACCAAAAATCAGCAGTACAAAGTCTGAGAACGTTTATGTACCAGACCTTATTTTACAGCTGATCACCAATGCTACAAAGTCACACTGCTTAAAACAGGGAGGAGCATATAGATAGCAACTGTCAATAACATTTGTTTTAGTTTGTTGTTGTTGAGAATATACACAGCGAAACATGCCCTAAGTCAATAGCTTCTACCGGCACAATTCAGTGGCTTGAGTATGTTTTTTCTGAGCGAGTCCTCCCCCAGGAACATTAACTCACTGCCCCAAAGTGTCCTACCTAACCTTTCAAGTTGCTGTTGGCCATTGGATCCCAGAGTTTGAAAGATCACTATTGCTCAAGGCTGACACTGGTGACTCCTTCCACTGACCTATCCTTCGGGGGAGCAACGATCAGCAATTTGACCCTCCAAAAACTCCTACACAGGACGAAGGGGCCACGTGAGGGTAGCCAGAGAGGGTGAGGCCCCAAGGTCTCCACCACTGAGCAATGCGACCACCATCTTCTGGTTTGCTTAAGGCTTCAGGTGAGCACTTCTCAGGGCAGGATTCTGCTGAACTAAACCAAAGGCAGATGACACCAACACTGTTTTCTTTCTCACCACCACCAAGTTAGCAACCAAAATAAAAACTGGATTCCTATGAAATATGTGTTACCAGAACTAAGGATCACAACTGCGCCTACAAAGAGAAAACGAGCTACCGTATTCATCAGTGGGGAACCAAGGATCGTTAAGCAACTCTCCTCTCAGAGCAACAGAGAGCAGAGGGAAGGAACGTTGCCCTGACCTCATGTGCACCAGCGGAAATGGGAGGGAAAGCGGAGGCCAACACTTTGGTCTTGCCAAAGAAAAGAAAATCAGATGATAAAGTACAGATGACCAACCCAAGTGATCTTACCTGATTCCGTTCTCTCTCCCCAGTCGATGGCAACCAGAAACTAAAGAGAGGGGAGAAGAACGGACGGGGAAACAGTGAGAAGCAGTAGGTGAGCACCAAGAGCAGTAGATAAACAGATGTTGGGAGAAAGAATGAGGGCCAAGGAAGAAATGGGACCAAGGTGGGATTCAGGGATAGGGTGTGTGTAAACCTTTCAGCTGAAAATAACTCTTCAAAGGAAAAAGTTCATAATGGTTTGAAAAGTTAAAAAGCCTCAAAAGGACAAAAATGGGCAACACAGAAATAACCCCAAGACGACCAGGTGACACAAACGCACTCCACTGCGCAGTAACAGCAGGCTCCCTAACTCAACACGGCATCAACCACTCACACATGGGCCTCTGAAAACGAAAAGGCTCACACCTGGGGACAGACATGATTGCACATCAGGCATCAAAGAGCCAGCCATGTTGGCGACCAGGCTGATACCAGAAAGGGAAGCTCGATTCTCTGTAGGCTTTCCAGTGTTCCTACCACCATAAATAGTCCTAAATCATGTCTCTAAATGCTTTGTTGCAGGTGGTACTGAGCTGGTTCTAACTCACAGCGTCCCTGTGCACAACCGAACAAAACACCCAGTCCTCTACCATCCTTACCATCTTTGCTCTGTCTGAGCCCACTGGAGCCACTGTGTCAATTCTTGTCGAGGGTCTTCTTTTTCTCTGACCTCCTTAATCACACATGCTTTCTGTCTCCAGGGACTGTTCTTTCCTGTAACACGTTCAAACCATGTGAGACCAGACTCACCTGCCCTCCTCACCCCTAAGCAGCATGCTGGCTATGTATCTTCTAGGCAGATTGCCCGTTCTTCTGGCAGTTCGTGGTGTAGTCAATATTCTTCTTCAACTCCGTAGCTCAAAGGCATCAATCCCGCTTTAGTCCTCCTTATTCGGTTTCCAGCAATTGCTTCCATAGGAAGCAACTGAAAGTACCATTGCTTGGGTGAAGCACACTTTGGTCCTCAAACTGGCACTTTTGCTCTTTAGCACTTCAGAGAGGGTGTTCTGGCAGCAGATTTGCTAAGTGTAATAGACGGTGCTTGATTTCTTGACTGTTGCTTCCATGATTTTGGATTCCGTAAAATGAAATCCTTGACAACTTCGATCTTTTCTGTTTGGAGTGGTATTGCTTAGGGTCTAGTTCTGAGAATTTTTGTTTTCTTCTTATTGAGGTATAAATCATACGGATGGTTGTAGTCTCAGATCTTCAGCAAGTGCTTCTTCACTTTCTCAGTCAGTTTGCTTCACTCTCAACCAACAAGGCTGTCACTTGCATAGGCAAATTGCTAACGAGCCTTCCTTCAACCCGGATGCTGTGTTCCTCTTCATCGAGTCCAACTTCCCGGAATATCGGCTCAGAGTGAGGACACAGAGTGAAGACACAGACCTGAGACACACCTTCCCTGATTTTAAAGGGGATAGCGCACAACATCCCCTTGCTCTGCTCAAACAAATGCCTCTTAGTCGATGTTCGGGTTCTGCATAGGCACAATGAAGTGTTCTGGAATTCTTATTCTTCGCAATGTTCCATAATTTGTTATGATCCACACAGGCGAATGCTTTTGCACAGTCAATAAAACACGGGTACACATCTTTCTGGCAGTCTCTGCTTTCAGTCAAGATCTATGTGACATCAGCAGTGATGTCGATCTCATGCCAAACCCTCCCCCTCGGAAGCTGACTTGAATATCTGACAGTTTCCTGCTGGTGTATTACTGCCATCATTTAAAAATAATTTTCAGCAAAATTCTACTTGCATGTGATATTAATAATACTCATCGATGATTTCCACATTCCTCTGGATCATCTTTCTTTGGACCATCTCTCTTGTGCCCACAAATATGGATCTCTTCCAGTCGGCTGGCCAAGTAGTTGTCTTCTAAACCTCTTGGCATAGACGAGTAACTACTTCCAGCATGGCATCTGTTTGTTGACGCAGATCAACTGTGTCAGTGCCTGGAGGCTAGTTTTTTGCCAGTGCCTCCAGTGAAGCTTGGACTTCTTTCAACACCACCAGTTCTTGATCCCAGGCTGCTTTCTGAAATGGCTGAAGGTCCAACAATTATTTTTGGTCTAGTGATTGTATATTCTTTCTATGTGCTTTCATGCCTCCTGCGTCGTTCACCATTGTGCCCCTAGAATCCTTCAGTATTGCAACCTAGGGAGTGGATTGTCTTCAGTTCTTTCCATTTGAGAAATGCGTACTGTGTAGCCCCTTTTGGTTTTTCGACTCTGGGTCATTGCACACTTTATTATAAATTTCACTTTGTCATCTCAAGCAAAATATTTTTGCTCAGGTCTTTTACTTTCCCTCTTCTGTTTAGTAACGCCACATTCAAGAGCAAATTTGGACCTTTTTGTTCCCCCCTGTCTTTTTCATGACCCTTTTCTTTCTTCATGCACGATGCCATCCCATCACTTGCCTAGTCTTTGGTCAATGGGTCTTATCTATTTTGAAACGGCTCTAAATCCAGGCGGGATATACTTGGGTTGTGCTTTGGTTCTCATGGGCTGGTGTTCACATTCTTCTGCTTCAAGTTGCAATATGAGCAAGAGATGGTCTAGTCTACAGTTAGCTCCTGACCTGGTTCTGAGTGGCGATATCGAGCTCCTCCATTGCCTCTTTGGCAGCTGTAAACTGATTTGATTGCTGTGTACTCCGTCTGGCAAGGTTCACAGGGATAAACCAGTCTTTGGTCTTCCAGAATTCTAGCATGTGATCTCCAGTTCATTTCTATCACCATGGCTATATTTGCCAACTTTATTTCCAACTTTCCCATTCTAATCATCAGTAACTCTCAACACATCTTGATTATATGACTGAGCAACCTCAGACTGCAGAAGTTGGTAAAACTCCTTAATTTTTTTCTTTGGCATCAGTGACTGGTATGTTGAGTTGAATGACAGTTGTATGAAGCGATCTTCCTTGTAGGTGCGAAGATATGATTCCTATCGCTCACAGTGCTGTGTTTCAGGAGAGAGCTTGAAATGTTCTTGACAATGAACATGACATTATTCCCTCCAATTTCCCATCCCCAACACGGTCATTATGGTGGTTCCACTGAAAATGGCCAAACCTAATCCACTTCAGCTCACTATCGGAATCAATCTTCAAGCTCTCCGGTTCATGTTTGACAACTGTTGAGTTTTTACTGTATCCATTCCAAATTCCTCCGATCGGAGGGGCTCACCCTCCAGTTCTCCATCACAAAACCCCTGCGGCTCCTCACAAGGTTTTCACAGGCCCATCTGTTCCCCCCCAGAAGGAGACCCCCGGGTCCTTCTTCCTGGTCGGCCTTAGTCTGGAAAGCTCTGCTCAAACTTGGGTCCCATGAGCCACCCTGGTGGTATCTAGTCATCAGTGGCATAGCTCCCAGCACATAGCAACACACAAGACCACTCCATACACAAAAATGGAACAGCGTGCCTGGATGGTGCCAACGGTTAATGCTCTCAACTACTAACCAAAATGGTGGGGGTTCGAACCTACCCAGAGGCACCCTAGAAACACAGGCCTGGTGATCCACTTCCCAAACATCAGCCACTGAAAAACCACTGGCACCCATGTCTATTCTGACATACCATCAGAAGTCAGGGTGGACTCAATGGCAGCCTATTAATGTTTATTTTAATGGGAAGAGCATATCGGCACACACACAGGCATCAACCAATTTTAAAAAATTGATTTCTGAAGCAGAACAATGAGTTAAGCAGCACCTTTAGACCCAGAAAGCAAAAAATAAGGAAAGCTTGTCTTGAAAGAAAGACAAATGAATGTTGGGGGTTTAACGTGTTAGCTAGGTTAACCGTTATAACCTCTTTACAACTGTTTTCTAAATCTTTACGATCTTCTTTCTCACTCCTGAGGTCTGGTTCCTAGGTTGCTTCGTAAAGCTTCCCTTTGTCTCCTTCTCCAAGGATTAGCTTGAGACAGACAGTGACTATATGTGCACTTACTCTTTCTGCCGAGGGTCACTAATGAGGTGGTCTATCCTCTCAGTACCCAGGGTACTTATGCTCGTCCCCTGCAAAGACAAGAGTATCACCTACCCAAAATAAGAGAAAAACACAGCTCAACCTGTTATCAGACACACTTTCCCCTAGTGGTGCCGGCCGAGGTAACCTCCAATAGTCAGCAGCAATGAGAACCGTTCCTTTGGAGAAATACGAGGATTACATGTGACTCATCTGATTTTTTTGCTAATGATCAAATACAAAAAAAGTCATCTCATAAACACAGCGTGCTATGCCTGGCACTTTCATACAGTGAGTGATGGACCTCCTGTGGTTACTGAAGTCACAGGAATAGAAAAACTTGTTTAAAAAATCCAATAGCAGCCCGTTTCGAAGAGGCCGGCACACCAAGCCCCCAGGATTACGGCGTGATAGCCCCACCGTCTGCACAGCGGGCACTCCCTGAGTTCTCTCCACACTAAACTCCTACCTCAGCCCACACCCTCAAGCCCTTCCCAACTCATAGGGACCTTCTATTAGGGTTTCCGAGGCTGGGAAGCGTTACACAGGAGAGACAGCCTCAATTTTCTTCTGCAGAATAGGTGGTGTGGACTTCAGCCGCGTGCGAACCTGACAGGACCACATACTTCCAAGGTCTTTTGTCACTTACACAAGTTGGCACCTTGTACTGTGTGTCCTTTGAACATCACCTTTTTAAAATGAACCGTAGACACTGACATAGGCTGATTTCAACTGGGAGTTCTCCAGACTGTACGGTGCGTGCTTACCAGTGTCACCACTAGCTACTCAGAAACTGATCACGTCCAGGGTGTCGGAGCATAGCAGAGGCCCCCAGTCTGCACGGGAGCAAAAAGCCTACAGCTCATGAGCTGCAGAGCCTGAGAATGTGGACCAGCACACTGAGGCAGAAGGACCACCCACCACTACAGGGACAGACAGTGCAGAGAGCCTAAGTCACGGGCACGCATGCCAGTGGTTTCATGCCTGTTATTCAAGCACGTTTGTTTCTATAAACATGTCACTTCTCAAGAACAACAGATTTTTTTTTAAAGCGTCTAGGAATTCGCCTAAACATTAGGATAGCTCTTTTAGCACAACTGGCTGCAGAAAATTAATTTGGGCTCCAATTCCGGGTGGGAGTGGGGCTAAATGAAAAGACCTCCCATATTGTCTTCACCGCAGTCTCCACCTCTCCTGCCCAAGCCTCCTGGTCACAGGCACAAACACAGTAGGGGGGACGAGGGGAATGATGGGTGAAAAATGAGCTATTTGCTACAGCAGGAAAATTATTAACTTAAAGTGGCGTAATGTTTAAATTTACAGTTTATTACTGTGTAAATTACAAGCGGTACTTTGCGTAATTAGCAGCTCGCTGGCAGGGAGCGGTGAAAGAAACTCATTATTTATGATTATAATTTAGAAAGAGAGAAGAGAGGTGGGGGAGGGGGGAAGTAGGGGGCAGAGCTGTGACCTCTGCTAGAAATGACAAATATCCCTTTAAGGTGATGAAGATGAATTAAACAAGTAAATATTATCCTATTCATCTGGCATCATTAGAGGCACGTGTCCCGCAGGCCGCGGTCCCTTCCAGGCAGGCTGAAGGGAGCCTTCGGATGCAGCAGCAGCAGCACGCTCTGCATTGACGGAACGAAGACAGAGCACGGTAGGTGGTGAAGAGCTCCATCTGTCAAGTCTATCCAGTAAAACCTTCCTCTGCCCCACACCCATGCATTCCTCCCCTGCCACCTGCCCTCGGGGAACAACCTTCCAGCACGGCAAAAGTAGCAGTTTACCACCTGCAACGTGAGTTACCCAAAGGAACAGGTATCGCTGTTCCAAAAAGCAGATGTCTAACTGGGGGTCTGGATTTGAATCTAAAGAGATAAAGAAACCATCTGAGTTCATCTGGATCCACGTTTCGCTACCCTTCCAAACGCAGCTCTTTGCCTAGACTGGAACAATGGCTCCCAACGGCAGCCAGCTGGGGTGTAGACCGCTGCTCTGTCCCCGGCACAGAGGCACTGTCAGTGCTCCTGAACGGACCAGCAGAGCCATGCTCTCAAATGCCCTTCCCTCCCTTACTCTCGGCCCACCCCATCCATCTCTAGCCTCAGTATTACCCTATTTCTCAATCTCAGTGCCAGAGGAGAAAACAAGGAAGAAGCAGGCCTGTATTCACAGGAAACCGGGTGGTGTAGTGGTTACATGATAGGCTGGTAACTGAAAGGTCAGCAGTTCAAAACCACCAGTGGTCCCAAGGGAGAAAGAAAGGGCTTTGTGCTCCTCTAAAGAGGTTCGGCCTCGGAAACGCACAGGAACAGCGCTACCCTGTCCTCTAGGGTCGCTATAGGTCAGCACTGATTCCACGGCAGTGAGTTTGCTTCTTGGAGTCCTGGGTTCAATCTCTACTCCATGACTTCCATTGGGTATCAGCAGACATTCCCTAACTCCTTTGAGCTTAAGTATTCCTCATCTGATAAAGGGATGCACACCTTCTCACAAGGGTGCCGGGAGGGTCTGATGAGCCGACGCACACACATATCCCTACCAGTCCCTGGCAAAGGCAGAACTACCTGAATGCTGGAGCTCCTACCCCCGTGCCCAAGGGGCTCTTGAAAGGTCATTCTGCACGCCGCCCCCAATTTTAAAAAAAACGAATTCTAGAATGACCAAAGAATATTACAAAGAAGCAATCATAAATTCAGGAGGAGCCATAAAGCATTTGAACTTTCAAAATAATAATAAACTAATCAAAAGTACAGGGCAGAGACCACAATGACAGGTGTTTGCTTTGTCAGAATGAAGCTTCATCTGTATGTGTGTGCATCCATGTATTTCCTACACAGGGATCACCCTTGTGAGGCCCCACCACCTTCCAGTCTGCTTAACTAACTACAGGCATCCCGCAGCCCCAGTGATTAGAACATTATCCTCCCAGAGAGCCTCGTCAACAGTGAGAGTTATCACCTTCCCACCAAGCCTTCTTCTTCCCTTCCTCAGACATCGGGCCGCAGCTCCAGGCAGACGGTTGACGCGTGCATGGTACCCTACATGTAATGAGAAGAAGAAAAAGAGAAAACTCATGAGCACAGTGTGCTTCTAGTACCCTGGAGGCTTACTGCTGGAGTGGCCCTTCAGGCCGTCTGCAGGGACCTATCAGTCCCATGTCTTTGTCACTAGCAGTATGATCTTGGGTTAGTTACCTCTGACTCAAGTATCTTTAGCTATAAAACATCACTTGCTCATTCCAATCTTACAGGCATGTTTGAAAAAATCCAATGAAATAGCTCAAGGAAGGGACTTTTTCAATGGAAAGCACTCCATGAATATAAGGTATTATGAACAGCTTCTATTTCATATTACACATTCACTACTACCTCACAAGCCTTCTAATCCATAAAGCGATTTAAAAGCATGTACAGTGCAAGCTCATTTTTGTAAGTGCAACCTGTGTTCTCGGGCGCCCTGACCCCCAGTGGCTAAGGATTCGGCCGCTAACTGGGATTTTCAAAGACTGGCTGGCAGCCGACACCCACCACTCCTCGGCAGGAGACAGAAGGGGTGGTGCACTCCACAGGCATTACACCAAGGACAGCCCAGGGGAGCTCGACTCTGCTCTACTGGGTCACTGTGAGCTGGAACTGACGAAGAGGCCACAGGATTTGTTGTTGTTGTTGATATTTATGTGTTCTGACCACAGAAGAGACATTGGTAGAATACACACACACACCAAAATGCCATCAATGACATTGTCTCTGAGTGGTAGGTAGGTATGGGCCAACTGAAACTTCTCCTTGCTGTTGCTGGGAGTGGGCCATAGAGAATGTTACGAAATGCTCACGGACATGCTTACTGAAAGCTAGGAAGCTCGTAAACCACATGCCTCAAGTCAGCCGAGTGTCTTTGACAAAGCAAAGTCAGTCTTCTAACACCCTTATTCATCACAATGAAGCCCTGTACAACAGTTTATAGCTCTCAGTGTAATTCTAGCACCAACATGTGCTCAACTCATACTTGACTGTTGATGACTACAAATCCAAGGATCAGAACTTTTTACATCTAAAAACAAAAACAAAAAAACCCCACAAAAGATCCTCTTAAACAGTTTTGTTCAATTCAATTCACTCACTGCCATTGAGCTGATTCTGACTGACAGTAAAACTGCCCCTTTGGGTTTCCAAGGTTGTAAATATTTACAGGAGCAGAAAGCTTCGTCTTTGAGCATGGTGTCGAACTGCTGGCCTTGCGGTTAGCAGCCCAACCCATGACACACTACACCACCAGGGCTCCTTTGTTCAATGCACATATCCTACACAATGACCCTGACCCAACGAAATGAAGGGGCTTTGTCACAATCACAGTGGGACAGACACTACCAGAGGGGATATTAACACATGACCATCTCCCTGGCCCCAGGTTTCTCCACCTCACTTGCTGCATCATAACTGAAGACAGAACAAAGGAAAGGAATATATATTTATGTTAAAGTCTCCAACAACAGAAGTACTAAAGAGAAATTATTTAAAGAAGCCTATTAAAATCATCCAGCTAAAAAAGGTGGTCATTATACCTTATATATAAGAATGCTCTTATTGATGTCTGTTCCCTTCCAAGATTCGATCCTTCAGCCTGCCCACGGGGACTAAGGACCCCTCCCTTTTCCAGCAGAAGGAGCAGCCGTGACATGCTATCAGGCTTTCTCCCACCTGCATTGGGAACCGGAAGAAACACCCTGTTAATATAGACCCACGAGTCTCCATGGATTGGCTTAGGGAGACATGGAAAGACCCTCAAGCTCTGGAGCTCACCCCTGCATCCTCAAGAAGAGTCCCTGGACTAGCTCAAACTTCAGAGTCCCTGTGTCCCGTGAGGCGTGAGTATGTAAGACACGGGATGATCCCCTCTCACCACCACCAAAGAGGAGGAACAAAGCCTAAAGAACATCTTGGTCCCTGAAGAACTCACCTCTCTGAGCGGGGCGAGAAGGGAGAAGGAACGTGGGGTCGGAAAGCTTATCCAGTCCCGAGTCCATTCTTTCTACTTCAGAGCAACGATCGGGCGTCCACTTGGGCAGAAGATTAGGAACCGTGAATCCTGGGACACATTCTCCTTCATAGAACCA